CACCAATACTATCTATTTATTCACACTTGTTGACTTTTATATTTCACTTATAGACTCTACTATATTTGTTGCACAAATGTTATCGATTAATATATAAGATATTAAGTTCCAGCGAACCTATTGCCGAGCCTCTTATACCAATTCATAATCAACTTCGAACTGTGAGAAAGCTCTTATTAGAAGTCAAAAAATTAGGTGGCCCATTTACAAGTATGTCATAGATATATTATAAATCTTAATTTATTATCATGCAATGATACTTATTTATAATATTACGAATATATGTGTTTTTGTTTTTAGACAGAGAATTATATCATTATCAGATGAAACTTGCTTCTATTGACAATCTTCGCAAAGATGGTAAGTTTCTAGACACAGATGGATCAATACCGGAAGGACAAGGTGTCGTTATGGCTTTGCTGAATGAATGTTATGACATTTTGTTTGAGATGAAAGCTGAAGTGGAAGAGGAGGCTTAGGTATAATTCAATATTTTTGTCATGGATATATACTCAAAATGAAAGTATATAAATGAGGAAAGAGTTTAATTACATTGGGAACATTTATATTAGTTGTCATTATTCATATGCACGTGTATTTTTAGTTTTTTTTATTAAATTTATTATCAGTTTTTTTAAAAATAACACCAAGGAACAGGCATAACACATAATAAACTTTATTTTATAATATTTAGTAAATCTAATTTTCTATTGCTTTTATGAATAGTTTACGAGACAGTGATTACGCAAGATTAATAGAAATTTGTAGAATAAAAGAATAATACGGATTGAAATAAATGTACTATAATGGAGATTAATTTATAATATATCTTCGGCTTCCATTAATTCTTCTAATTCGCGCTCTTCATCTTCTGTAAGCATTGATGATGATTTTTCTTCTTGAACTGTCTGTTCTGGCTGGGATTCCTGACTTGTAATGTCTTTCATAATTATTTAAATGTTAATATAGATTATATTGGTTATTTAAACTGGGTTTACAACATTCAATTTTACATACCAGTAAGAGACCACATTCTTAATGTACAATCAAGAGACCCTGTATACAATGTAGTTTCTCTTATTGCTGCGCATGACACCTCATCAAAGTGGCCCTCGATAACTTTGATCAATTTCCCACTCTGTTAAGATATCAAAATAATAATAAGTAATTTTATTATTATATAAACAACAGGAATAAGAAATTCAGATATACAAACCCCAATATCGAAAACACGTATAGACTCGTCCCGTGAACCGGAGATAACATAAGGGCCACAAATAGCAAGGCATTTAACAAAGTCAGGGTGTTCTAAAGACATGTCAGGTTTTCCTGTCTATTTGAAGAAAAAAAAAGAAAATATCAAAGATATGTCAAGTAATAAATTTCGAATTACTTACATATAGATCCCATCTTTTTACGGTCGTGTCTGCTGAAGCTTTTAACGGAATATTAATGTAAATGATAATGGTAATTTAATATTAATATAATTATCAAATATATATCACATATTATCATAGATATACCGTACCGTTCCGAAAATAAGCACCCTTTTTTGTTAGTGAAGGTGCTTATTTTTGGATATAATTTTGAAAATTAATATATATCATTTTCTATTAAGTAAATTTATTTTTGACTTCCTAAATAAAGTTATTCTCCAAGTCAAGGCAATTCTATTAGTGATAAAATCATCAAAATCGGTCCAGTAGAACTTTCGGATTACTCTTCAAAGTACGGACGGATGATGATTGTTTACGTTGGTTTATGTGATCTGCACATTAGCAAACGTCTCTCGATCAACTTCCCAATGGTCATTTCCCAGACATTACACAGCGATTGAAAATTTAGCAATCTATTATTTGCAGTTACATTTTGTTAGTGAATTTTCACGTTGTGTGATGTTGATTAAATGGGCTGCCGGAGAAATGACCATCGGGAAATTTATACGAAACTCGCCCGAGCTTTGAAGAACAATTACGAGAGTTCTATTAGACCAATATTGATGATTTTACCATCATTAGAATTGTCTTGACCTGGAGAATAACTTACTTAGAAGTCAAAAGTAGATTTACTTAGTGAAAACCTCTATACGATTAATTATACAAATCTTAGTGGTGCTTAATTTCGGAACGGTACGCAATATATAATTAAACAAACCTGTCCACATTTCCTCATCAAAAACCTTTAAAGCATATACACTAGTCAAATGACCTTCAAATATTTGCAAGCATTCTCCTGATAAAGGATTCCATTTTATAATAAGTCCATCTGAAGATGCAGAAAATAAAAAGGTTTCTTTCTCATCAAATGTGAGATCTTCGATCCCACGAGTATGTCTCTTAAATACTTTCAATGATTCGCCGGTTAAAAGGTTCCATGATCGAATAAGTTTGTCTGAAGAACCAGAAAATAAAGTAGATGTTTTATGCGAAATTGCTAAGGATTTCACAAAATCCGTGTGTGAACTGAAAGTACAAAGAGATTCTTTTGTCTACGAACAGAAACTTAATTATTATTAAATTTTAGAAATATACAATGACATATGTTATATTACAATACCTTTGAATCCCATTTTCTAAGTGTTTTATCCCAAGAACCTGTAATCAGATATTCAATTCCATCCTTATACCATAAACCAAGGCAGGTGACGGGACCAGTATGACCTTTAAAAACCTTTACAGTTTTTTTGGTCTATTTATATATATAATGAGGATAAGTGATTTTATGCACTAGATACAAATTAGTTTATCCATAAATTCATCTATAAATCATACCGATAAGTTAACTTTTTTTGCAATAAATCCGGATTCACCAATATAAGCATAATCGACATTATCAGTCTTTTCAGGAAGTATCATACATAAAACTTTAGAAGTACATTCAATCGGATCACCATCTTTATTTTGTTGTTTTTTAGATTTACGTTCTTGAATAGCAATGTCCCGATCGGACTGGAAAAAATTATTTGCTGAAGTTCCTATTTGTGGACCATCAAATTCATCCATATTGAAATATATATATATATGTATATCTGTATACTAAATTATTATGTTTTTAGAACTGGATTAAAATTTGCATACATTCGCGTTAAAATGAGCTGTGTTAAATATTAATTTTTTTTCTGCGCCTGCGTCTGTACCTTGTTGTACAACTTGGTTGTGTTAATTCAAGGAATTTTTGATTGAGTAAATTGATCGAATTTCTCACGATCTTGTGGAAGTAATGTATACAATTTGATGTATAAAGATACGTAACGATAAGTGTGAAGATTATTGTTATCAATAAATTTTGACAAATTGTAATATCATTCAAATTCTGGGGGTTGATTTCTGTTCTTCCATTAAACTCTTCGCTATGCTCCGGATTATAATTTACGCATGCAGTATTCGGATCTGTACAAATTGCCGTAAATTACCGTTACCTATATTTTTGGTAATTTGAGTAATTTACGTATCAACACGCACATCTCTAATTAGTTCTTAAATTTAATCGTATACTGTATCTCGAAAGTTTCTAAAATAGCAAGTCAGTTGCTCTACTAAAACCAGTTTCATGTAAACAATGGTAGGTTTCAAGTCGAAAAAAGATACTTAGATTAGCAAGTAGCATGCACAACTTCGAGACTTATCTTTAAAAGTTTTCACTATTTCAGGATTGTTGAACAAATATCGGATATAATTTTTATAAATAATTTTTGAGGTTTTATATAATTTAATATATAATAATTATCCATAGTTACTCACAGAAAATAAGAGAACGTGTATTTCAGTACAGTAATGTCAAACTGGTCACGATTTCCTGTCTTACTATGTATATTTCACATGACATAGATTTTAGTATAAAAATATTTCAGATTTTCGTATAAGAGCGAACCAAGATTTTATTTTTTTTTTATACAAACCAAGAATACGAGAGTATAAAAGAATTATTAAAAGAAGTATCTAAAATAGAATAAGAAAGTGAATACGATAAAATTATTATATATTTTTAAAAAAAAATGATCGAAAAACATTCTGAGTTTCTTAATCTTGGGTATAATTATCAACATGGTATCGGAGTTGAAAAGGATGAACATAAAGCATTTTTTTATTATCAAAAATCTGCAGAGATGGGTAACTCTATAGGAATAAATCGTGTTGGTTATTGTTATGAAAATGGAATTGGAGTTGAAAAGGATGAACAAAAGGCATTAACTTATTATCAAAAATCTGCTAATATGGGTAATACTAGTGGAATAAATAGTGTTGGATATTGTTATAAAAATGGAATTGGAGTTGAAAAAAATGAGAATAAAGCATTCAATTATTTTCAAAAATCTGCTGATATGGGTGACGCTTTAGGAGCATATAGTGTTGGTTATTGTTATGATAACGGAATTGGAATTGAAGAGGATGAACATATGGCATTTATTTATTTTCAAAAATCTGCAGAGATGGGAAGTGCTATTGGAACATGGCAAGTTGGTAATTGCTATCTTGATGGAATTGGTGTTGAAAGGGATGAACATAAAGCATTCTTTTATTATCAAAAATCTTCAGAGATGGATGACGCTAAGGGAACAAATTGTGTTGGTTATTGTTACGATAATGGAATTGGAGTTAAAAAAGATGATCATAAGGCATTCATTTATTATCAAAAATCTGCTAATATGGGTAATGCTCTTGGAATAAATAATACTGGTGAATGTTACCAAAGTGGAACTGGGGTTGAAAAGGATGAACATAAAGCATTTATTTACTATCAAAAATCTGCAGATATGGGTAATGCTAGCGGAATAAATAATGTTGGTAATTGTTATCTTAATGGGATTGGAGTTGAAAAGGATGAATATAAGGCATTTATTTATTATCAAAAAGCCGCTAGTTTTGGGAACATTAATGGATTTCATATGGTTGGTCATTGTTATAGAAACGGAATAGGAATAGAAAGGAATTTACAAAAGGCTAATTATTGGTTCAGAAAGGAAAGAGACAAATTTTCAAAGACAAGTAATCAACATATGAATTTCTGGATATTAATGAAAATTTGAAACAAATATTGAGAACAAATAAATATCAATTATCTTGGATTCCTTTTTCGGAACTTAAAATTGTTGAAGAAATTGGAAAAGGTGGATTTGCTACCGTGTATTATGCTAAATGGTCAAGAATAACTATTTATGATTCTAATTTGATTTCTGTTGCGTTAAAAATAATTCATAATTCGAAAGTTCAAATTCAAGAATTTATAAATGAGGTATTTATAGGTGCAGCCAGGAGAAAACTTCACTTTGAATTTTAAATTTACACAGAACTTACTGAGCCCAATCCTTAAAAAAAAAATCCGATAGGCTGGGTCCAGTAAGTCGATTTAAAAGCCCGATCCAGTATATTTATTTATTTATTCTACTTTGTTATAGTTAAAAGCATATAGTGAAATAGGATTCAATAATCCTTCTTTCTTACAATGCTATGGAATATCACGAGATGAGAAGACAAAAGACTATATAATTATTTTAAAGTACGCGGAAATTGGATCTCCACATCAAAATATTGTTGCAGTATCACAAATGAAATGGAAAGATAAGTTAAATTTATTAAATTGTATCGTATCTGACCTTGAAGCTATTCATTCAGAAGAGATACTTCATCGGGATCTTCATAGTAAAAATATTTTACAAGATGATTTGCGTAGTGCGTATATTGCTGATTTAGGTCTCTCAGCATCAGCTGATATAAAACAAGAGAACCAAATTTGTGGAGTAATGCCATACATTGCTCCGGAGGTTTTACAAGGAAAATCTTTCACACAAGCATCTGATATATATAGCCTTGGCATCATTATGACAGAGATAGCGACTGGAAAAAGGGCATTTGATGGTATATCTTTTGATTCTGATCTTTTATTAAAAATTTGTCAAGGAGAACGACCAGAATTTGATGAAGAAATGCCAGAATGTTTTATCAAATTGGCTAAAAGATGCATGGATTCAGATTCAAAGAAATGACCAACAGCTACCATCATTAATTCAAAAATTGTTCATTGGATTGATGAGATGGAACAAGATGATGACAATGAAATCAAACGTCAATTCTTGGAAGCTGATAAGATCAATCCAAAATCGATTAAACCAGAACATTCTTCACACATGTATACAAGTAAACTAATTAACACGCAAGAATTGACAAGCAAATTATCAAATTTAAGTTTGGTGGTTTCTGATAATCTCGAAATTCATAATATTCAGGATTAGAGTTTTTAATGTTTTTCAATAAAGTATATTTGCTCTTTTTTAGAGTTCTCGTTGAATTTTCCGAGGTACAGAATTATGCTAAAGTTATAACCTGTAATCTCAATAAATATTACTGTATTAGAGTACTTAGATTATTATTGACTATAAAGAAAGAATAGATGACATAACAAATATAAATATAAGTATCTAAATTATTATTGACTATAAAGAAAGAATAGATGACATAACAAATATAAGCATCTACATCAATAAAGTCGTTTAATAAAATATTACCATTTTATTGATACAAGTAATTTATCCAAAGCTCAAAAAATATTTTTCTTAAATTTTTGACTTAGGCATATCGTCCTTAATGATGAAATTTGCAATCGAATGTGCAACACTGCAGATGGTAATCTAAATATATTGTAAAAATTCAAAACTTATTGTCATAAAAGGTTCAAATAAGCGAGTACCTACCATAGGATTGACGCCAGTAGAAGTTGGTAATACACTTGCATCAGCAACATAAAGGTTATCTACTCCCCATACTTTACCTTTGGGATTAACAACCGATGTTTTTGGATTAATACCCATTTTGCTATAATTTTATAGTATAAATGAAGAAGAATTTTAAAATTTATAAAAGCTGTAAAAGCTGTAAATAATATGCATTATGTAAAATAAAAAAATTTATACCATGTTCCCATTTGATGTGCACTTCCAATACTTGATGCGCTATCTTCTACACCAATCTTTCTTATATTCTCAATATATTGTTTATATCTTGGATCATTAAATGGATCTTTTTCAGCAGGTTCAAATTCTTCAATAGCTAATTGTCCTGTCATAACTGTTTTTGCACCTGCAGCCACAAGAATATTAATTCCAGCAATCATTCCTTCGATAACACTCTTTGAATCATGATTACTAATTGAATAATGAATTCTAGGTCTTCCACATGAATCTATGGCAATCCTACCAGGATCTTTGTCACGACTAATGATTAAAAATGGGACAAGATGATTTATTTGAAGCATTCGTTGTTTATGATTAAGTGCAGATTTCCAGGGTAAGAATGCAACAAGGTAAAGAGGATGAAATGTAGCAACTTCAATTTTTGATCCATAATAGTCACCATCTATATTTTCAACAACTTCAGATACCTATGATTATTTGGTCTAATTGTTACATATTGTATATATTATATACATGTATTAAGATAAAAGATATGAATTATATTAATTTACCGAAGTCATAATAGATCCTGAATAAGGAATAACTTCTCTATCTGGAAAAAAACCAGATACCATAGTAAGCGGATGAAGATACAAATTTTTGCCAATATTTGTATTCCTGAGCCCACTTCTCTTCAACAAAACAGGACTATGAATTGCACCACAAGAAACAATAACTTTTTTCGAATGTACTACTAATGCCCGATTTCCGTTAACAATAGCCCTTATACCTACAGCCTTTCTATTTTCAATCAAAATGGTTTCAACATAACAATCATCAATAAATTTAGCACCAGCGTCTCTAGCATCTTTTAACCATGTCATCAAACTTCCTTGCTTTTCACCATATTTACAACCGAATGTGCACCAACCACATTGATGATGAGACCCAGCAGTATTTTGAGGTATATCTTTGTAATGATAACCGAGTCTTTTACAACCTTCTATAAGAATTTTATTACTTTCATTGTGAATAATTGCATCAGAACAAACACCCATTCGTTTTTCGACAGCCTCAATTGATTTATTAAAATCATCACTGAGGAAATAAGTTAATCCTTGTGCAGCCCACTCCTCTCTTATAAAGTGTTGCGGCTAAAAGTATAGATTTATAAAATTAAATTAAAGATGAAAATATATAAAATGAATGTATTTAATATATACAATAAAGGTCAAACCTTTAAACTAGCACAATAATTGATAGTAGTACCGCCACCAAATGTTGAACCCCTATTAATCAGAATTAAATAAAGATCAACGAAATATACAACGATGTATATAACGATATATACAGTGTATATATACATATATATATAAGTCTAGATTTTGTTAATTTTTGTTAAATATAATTACATACGAATGAATGCCCAAGCTATATTCCTCGTTAAATAACATACCACCATTTTCATATAAATTATCAAAAGATTCAGCCTGTTTCAAAGATAAATCATTTTGATGATAATGTTTTCCTTTTTCAACAACAAGGACACTATAGCCAGCTTTTGCTAGTAGAGCAGAAACCACACCGCCTCCAGCACCAGAACCAACA